ACTTAAGGTATGAAAGTGAAATGTTTTGAAGATGTTGTAAGGAATTGAAATAGGCCCCAAACCTGAGGTACGAAAATGTAATTTACCCTTAATTTTTTAGAATAAACTTAATAAAGAGAATTTTATATTAATTTGTTTAACACGTGGCAAGTTCTGAGTGAAGTGCCACTCAGCAAAGTTTAGTGGCAAGCTAAGCCCCACATCAGTTTTTCTCAATTATTTGAGTGGGGAAGTGTTTGGAAGAAATCGACTTGTTGACTGAAAGCACTATTAGATAAAATGTTTGTGGATCCCAAAAGCACTTGAAATTCTTCCTACAAAAAGCACGAGTTATATACTTCTTGAAGAAAGAGCTTCAAGTGCTTGTTCAGGATTCACTTAGGCCATTTCCAACCAAAGTCTGGCCAGAGGGCTCGTTTTAGCCCTCTGGCCCTCCAAGATATTAATATTTTAATGAACAGTACGGTGTCATATTTGTCTCCATCTCCAAACCGAGGGCCAAAGGGTCATAGGGCTCGTTTTAGCCCTATCACAAAAAATCGTCTCCAAACGAGTGCCAAAGGGCCATAGAGCCAAACATAATTAATTATTTAAATTTAATGTTATTTAATGTTGTTTCATATTGTTTAATGTTGTTTCATGTTACTTAATTTAATTTAATATTGTATAATGGCTTAGGAAGTTATAGGAAAAAAAAATGACCTACCATACCTGTCGGATATAACCTACAGGTATAAGTACAATGTTGTCAGTTATATCCAACAAGAATAATGAAAATCCAGCCTGGCCTGGGGCTGGTTGGCCCTTTGGCCTTTTTTTGTTCAGTAGGGCTTACGAGCCCTTTGGCCTAGCCCTCAGTTGGAGATGGTTTTCGGGCTATTTTCGGTCCTCTCACCCTCCTGACCATTAGGTTGGAGATGATCTTACATTTTTACTAAGAATTGGTTTTAAAATATTTTCACCAAAAACTTTTTTTTTTGGTCTTTTTAAAAGTAATTTCAAACCAACAATAATTGTTGGAAAGTGGAAAAAGGCTGGATTAGGAGATTGGTTGGTAAATGCTGGTAAAGGCTGATTAATTATTTTAATTAAACAAAAATAAAAAGGTGAATTATTGATGTGTAAAGCCTTCATTATCGTAGCTTGAAATAAATGTAATGTTATTAAAGTCCTCCATCATACTATTGTTGATTTTGCCATTAATATAATATAAAAATTGAGAATAAGACACTAGCGGAGATATTTGCAAAAGATACCACACAAATAAAGCAATCAAAAGTTCTTAACGTAGAATGAGGATCTTCTCCTGATAATTTTTTTGAGGATCTCGGGGAATTTTTATATTATATTCGTTCATTGTATATCGTATGGTGAGTTTTAGTCAGGTACTATTTGTGTTTAATTTTAAGTAAAAAAATTTAAAATGATTTCTGACAGCATAATGTACAATGAACAAACACGATGTGGGGATCTCTGAAATCCTCACAAAGAGAATCCGGAGATGATCCTCACAAAGAGAATCCGGAGAGGATCCTCCCTCCTTAATATATTCGACGAACTCTAGACCTGTATTCCACATGGCACGTCTTAGGTTCAATTCTTAACGCTAATGAATCGTCACGAGATATTGAAATGCCTTAGTGAGTCTTTTCGGGCATAAAATAGTGAACTGTTATTGCTAATTCATCAGTTGGTTATTTTTTTTTTTTTTTAAATTCTTAATATATTCTGGAAAATTTTGTTTAGCCCACAAAATTTATCAAACTAAATTAAAAAAAAATGAAAATAAAGGCAAATTGGCTGTTTAATTGTGTTGCCAGACTGCCGGTTGAACAGCGGAACACTCCACACAACTACATTACTGCTTACGGCATGAAGGCGAAGGTAGCGGGCCTAACCCCCACATGGTGTCCAGCCACGCCAAAACATTAACATTCTTCATCCAAGAAATTGCACAATTGCTTGTTTTTATACGACCCCTCCCTCCAGGGCGCGTGGCAATGACGAATGTACTAATTTTTCTTTTTCTTTTTCTTTTATTAAAAAAAAGTATAGCCGCAGATGGATTATTTTGACGAATAAGATCGTTCAAACTCTGTTTCTTTTTTGTTTGAAAAAAAAAAAGATCAATTGGTGGTTTTATCACGGTAATATATTTTTTTTTTAGGCGGAGAATACTTACATAGGCATTTTAGTATTCTCTAGCAATCATCGTGCGATTCACTAGTATCAAGAATCGAATTCAAAACATACCGTATAGAATACGAGCCTAGAATTCATTCACAACCACCGAATGATCCTATAGTAATTTATGTATTTGATTACTCTCTTTATGTCTGACCCAACAAAATTGTTTACTGGTCTAAACCTTAGTCCATATAGTGTAGTTTTCAAAAAGGTGTAGAGAGATAAATCAGTTGGTTAACAATTCGATCTTATTTGATGTACAGTTAAAATAGTATTATCTAGCATGAATCTTTGATTATAGTAAATCTAACTTGGGTCAGTGATCTTATTCAACAAGTCTCATGGTTTGAGGAACCTCCGAATATAATCAATGATCTACTTGTCGAGGATGGTAATCTTATGAAATGTTAGATGCGGAGCGCTCTTTTTCTTCTTAAATTGGGTTGAAATTCTCGGCAAAGTTTTTATCGAGACCCATTGTTGTCCACCCTATCCTCTGGCATGTATGTGTATTCGATTCTATGATTTAATGTGAATATCGTATTTTTCTGAATAAAAAAATAAAATAAAAGCATAGGTCAACTAATACAATACTGATAAGTATTTGGTCTAGCGTTTTTTTTCTTCCTAAGCTGATTGGGGGTGTATGTTCGATTTTTCTCGTATTGCCTATAAAAAGAGAGCTCGCTCCAAATTCTAAGCCATCGCTTATACTGGTTTGAAATTTGAATGATTTTGGCTTCATGTGTTGGTCTCCTTAAAGATACACAACTTATTCACAAGGAGATGTATGATCCAAGACAATTACCCATTTTTAAGTCGATGGTTATTGGTTAAACTTAAGATCAAGGTTTTAAAATACGCTAGGTGCCACTTAGTACTATGGTCTAGTAGTAATCCTCTTCACTTGTAAGTGAGAGGTCTTAGGTTCGATTTTCGCTAAATGCAAATTTGAATCACATTATTTGCTAGCTCATTATGAGTCTAAGCCCACCTCCTTCCCCTAGTGTGGACAATATCATTTGTTCAAAAACAAAACAAAAAACACCAACAAAAAAAAAACAAAAACAAAAACAAAAAAAAAAAACAAAAAACAAAAAACGCTAAGCGCTAGTCGAGCGGTGGACTGGAGCCTAAAGCCTAGACGGTTATGCAGGGCTAGACTTATGGTTTAAGGTTTAGGGTTTAGGTTAACGTTATCGATTTTTTGTCTAAGTGAGAGTTTTGACCTAGGCAAGTACTTATGCAGGTTTAGACGGCGCCTAGGCAAGTTGGGCGGACACTTAAAGCAGGTCTAAGCACACTTTCTTAATTTTCAAACGACTAGAGACTAATCGGAATGGTGATCAATCGCCTAACACCTAGGCGGCGCTAAACGGAGATTTTTAGAACAATGCTCAAGATGCATCAATCTAGTAAGGGTCGGAAAATCCTTTCAAAACTAATCATGGGTGAGTTTTGATGAACCATTGTAGTTACTATTCAGGCTCAATACATGGCTAAACGAATTTTAGGCATTGTTCTAAAAATTCCCGATTAGTGCCGCCTAGGCTGGTCACTGCCCCGATTAATGCCTAAGCGTTTGAAAATTAAGAAATTGCACCTAGACCTGCTGAGGCGCTCACCTAGACTGCCTAGGCACCCGCCTAGCTGGCCCAGACTAGCCCAAACCCGCCTAGGTTGCGACTCACTTAGACAGAAAATAGATAATTTCATTTTGCATTTTATTTTTTTTTCAATAAATTGTACGAGACTTGTTTAATACTTAAATGAACACACATTATATGCTTATTCCCCATGTTTTCATTATGTCCTAATACTTCATAATATATATATGTCATTCTATTTTATAATTTATGATGAAATTATATATCTATTTTAAGTATAAACTGACACTTATTTACACAAAATATAATGAATCTACTTAAATCCGCCTAGACCCTACTCGACCGTCTATAGGGTACCGTTTGGTACGTGGGACGGGACGGAACAGAGTGGGACGAGACGTTTCGTCCCACGTTTGGTGCGCCTAAAACGGGTGGAACGAGCTGTTCCACGGGACGAGTTTTGGGTGAATTTTCGTTCCGCCTCACCCCCTGGAACGACTCGTTCCACATCTGTGGAACACAAAATTATAACCTCTCCATCTCCTTCTTCTTCCTCCTTGTTTCCATCCGAGGGCATCTTTGCTCCCGCTCCATTCCGTTCTGTCCTGTCCCATCCCATCCTGTCCCATTCTGTTCCGCCCCGTCCCGTCTGCATACTAAAAGATACCTAGGCTAAGCTCCAACCCATCGCCCGACTATCGCCTAACGTATTTTAAAACTTTATTTTTAGGAAATTTGGACGAGTACGAAATTATGGAAATTGAGTCGAACTAGAAAGTCCCACCATTCCATCAAATCAATTAAAGGGGATCAAACCCATGAATATAATAGGTTCAAATAATCGGAAAAGGGAAGAGAAAAGTAAAGAGAAAGGAAAAAGAAACAGAATAATGGTGATTCCCGCGCTATCTACGCGCGTGGGGATGACCCACCACACCATTCCTCCCACTGAAAAGCCGCACTTCGTCATAAAAATCTTTCAACGGACAACCCGACCCGAAACGGTGTCGCTTCCGTTCCCACGCCTTTGCCGACATAATCATATCTCAACCGCGCCTACGTGGCATCTCCATATCAGTTCATGTACATGTCGTCACGAACTAGCATTTACACCAAACGCACACTCACCGTCGGATCCAAGTGTCTATAAAACCAACGGCTGATAACGCTCACGTCAGCTGAGCTCTCTCGCTCGTATATATACCGAAGGACGTGATGGGATTGCGATTGTGAGCTCTCGAGTTGTTATCCGTGTAAGATTTTTATTGAAGAAATAATGGGAGCAACGATGGAAGAGCAGCTGAAGAAGGCGGAGGCCGAGCCGTCTCTGCCGGTGGAGCCGCCCCCGGCTTCGGCCCCTGTCGACGTTGCCGTTGAGAAGAAAGCGGATGTGGTTCCGCCGAGTGATGTGGATGTCAAGGGTGGCGATGATACCAAAGCTCTCACCGTAGTTGACAGTAAGTGAAGTCTCTGTGTTTCTCTCTATTTGTCTCAGTGGACAGTAAAAAGTTAAAAACCTGCAGTGCGTTTGCGGTGAAATGTTTTTTGTTTTACTTTTTTAACAGAGGTTCCAGAAACTGTGGAGAAAAAGGCTTCAGGAGGATCAATTGACAGAGGTGAGTTACTGATTTTAATTTGGTTTTTGAAATTATATTCCGTTTGGTTGTTTGTGGTGGTGTTGAAGTAATATTTTTTAATAGTATTACCCCGATCTATCAATCATGTCGTCAATTTATATTATAACACTTGAATTAGTAACCTCAATTTATATTATAACACTTGAATTAGTAACCTCGACCGTCACAGCTAAAAGGTCGCGTGTCAATTTTTTTTCGAATTACAGATATAGCACTTGCACAACTGGAGAAGGAAAAGAGTATGTCTTTTGTCAGGGCATGGGAAGAAAGTGAAAAGGCTAAGGCAGAGAACAAGTAAGCCTTGATTTCTCACTCAACCTAATTGCCTTTCAATTATTGTACCAAAAATATATGTGCCATGATTTTGGATTCCTAGAAGTCAAGTGGGGTGATTAGATTTACAATATGGTTTGAATTGTAGTAATTTAATTTGAGAAAAAAAAAAAAATCTATGGTTAACAGGAATTAAATTATTGGTGTTAGGGTAGGGTACGGTGTTTGTCCTTTGTACCAGAGTGCGAAACTTCGAATCCCTATGCCTCTAAATTTGAGTAGTTTAGAATAGAGTATCGTCTTGTAAAAAAAAAAAAATGAATTGAAGTTGATATTTTACATATTTCAAGACATTGAGACTATTTCTTTGAAAGAAGAGCTGCATTTTGTGATAAGCTTGATGGTGTTGCTGTTTTGTGGGTGATACACAGGGCCCAAAAGAAACTTTCTGATGTTACTGCATGGGAAAGCAGCAGGAAAGCAGCTGTGGAAGCCAAACTCAGAAGCATTGAGGTAAAACTTCCTTTGTTTTTTTGCTTTGTTCTAGATACACCCATGGAATGTTGGATGTTACGGTCCATCCAACGCCCTAGTTTTAATTTAATTTCTTGATTAGAATGCTGGAACATGGACTGGTTGACGATTGTAATTAATGGGAAATCATTTCCACGTACCTCTTTTCACCTTTTGCACACCGTGTTATTTTTGCCCCTTTATTCTCCTTTGATTTATATAATCCAAAGGCCATAAATTAGAGTGGGTGCATGGTGTGCAAGGGGAGAGAATCGGGTGTGTGTAAATAATTCGCTGAAGATAAACTTTCTTAACCTGTAAAATGTAATGCAATTAGAAATTAGTTCTGTTTCACTACCTAGTTAGTAAGCAAGAGGCACATTCTCTTTATCCATAAACAAAGTTTTCTAGTGGATCTTCTGTTTTGATTTCATGCAGAAGTGCCAGCAATTATGGAACTATCCATACTTTGAACTTAAAATTAAACAGTATGAAGTTAACCGATTTAAGTAGCATTGTTCCTAGTTTGTGTTCAACACTAACGGCTCCTATGGCTAACAGGAACAATTGGAGAAGAAAAAGGCACAATATGCAGAGAAAATGCAAAACAAAGTTGCCTTACTTCACAAACAAGCGGATGAAAAGAGGGCAATGGTTCTAGCCCAGAAAGGCGAAGAACTTCTTAAGGCTGATGAGACCGCTGCTAAGTACCGTGCAACTGGAAGCATTCCAAAGAAGTTCCTCGGTTGTTTTTGAAGTAGTGCTTTCAATCCTGGTTTGAAAACAATCTGTGTAACTTCTGGTTTTTTCATATGTATATCTTTCTTGTTTGCGCTTTTTGTACTTTGGGGTTCGGGTCGGTTTGTTCATTGTGTTCTTTAATTTGTGTGAAAACTGACTACAGAATCAGCAACTGTTCATTGTCATCCATGTGTTTATAGGAAGTCTATTTGACTTGTGAATTCCAAGTTTGTTATTTGTTTCTTCATATGGTTCAGATATCTTTTGGAGGATTGAAGTTTTCTTAGTAATGCGATAATTCTACACTAGTCATCTTTCATTGATTCCTAAAAATGGTCAAGAAACTCTTCTTTTCTACCACTGCATTTTGCAGCTTTCATTAGCTAAGATGTGCAGTAGCAGATCAACACTCCCTACTTTCAGCAAGCATCATGCAAAACAAAAACTGATAGACAAGAAGCAATAAAAGCATCATAAGAAGTTAGAGCTCGGCCTAAGGAGAAAAACTTGCTTGCACCGTATGTTGCAACAAGTATCTCACATTTCTTGTGTCATGTGAGTGGTATGTGAGCTTATAAGTGAGAATCAATTGCAAGAAATGGAACTGTCTCTCACATATACTATATCATGCAAGTGACGTGCGAGCTTATGTGCACGAGACCCGGGTGTAGGCACATTCTTTCTTGAGCCCGAAGGTGTGCTCTTAGAGCAGCTTCAGCGTGTGCTAGAGCCTGAGGGACAGGCCCGCGAATAGTGGCAGAGAGCCCGAGCAAGCAAGCCCAGTGTGTGCTGGCGAGAGAGCCCGAGCAAGCCCGAGGAAGAGGCCCGGCACGAGTTGCCAGCCCGAGAGCCCGAAGGCAACGTGATGCAAGGCTGACGTCTGGGCGACGTCAGCCACAATATAAAATTAATAAAAATACAAAATATTAATAAAAAAATCCAAAAAAAATTAAAAATTAAAAACAACTAATAAAAAATTTATAAAATTTGAAAAAAAAAAAAAAAATCAATTCGGGCGTTTCATTCCCTAGCTCCATCTCCATTGCCACCCCGCCACACTTGATCCCTAACCTTCGACCACTCCACCTCCCGCACACCTTCTTCTTCTTTCTCTCCGACTCCTCTGTCATTGAAAAACCCACACGGCAGGGAACCCCCACACGTCTGCTTCAATAGCACTATGTCTCACAGTGCACCGATGGTGCATGCAAGACCACAATCGCATTCCACATGCTCCATAGATTCGAGATATAAGGTTTTGAGGTTAAATTACAAGGAAATGGTGGCTAGTTATTCACAAGTATAGTCGTCTTGCATGTATGACAGGTGGAACTTGGAAATCTAAGGATACACATACACACACACACACACACACACACACACACACACACACACACACACACACACACGTATATATGTTTTCTTTCCAACGAGTTCACCCAAGGAAAATGATAGGTGATATAAGCTTAACCTTTAGGGTACAAAGTCAATCTCAACTCCTATATTGTTTCCCTTTATTGAATTTCATAACCATCCATTAATCTGTCTTTCAAATTCTTCTATAAAAAAAATTGTATAACCAAATCATACATCTAAAAAAATTGCATAACTACATGACACGTGATACAACGAGACTGATTAAAAATTATATCTGAAATTACAAATAAAATTATTTTGTATTATTTTATAAAAAAAAAATATTAATATTTTATTACCTATTGCCAGAGCTATTCAATGTAAGAGTAAAGATGCAAAAGACAGTTATTGTTCATTAAGGACAGTTACTGTTCACTGAATGGATTAAATAGTGAATAGCCTGGGGGCCTTTCTGACAGTGGAACTGCTCTTAGAGCATAACATGTGGGCCTTGCCGTCCAAGAAAGCTCAGTTCATTGAGTGACCATGGTATGATGTCGCAAATTACAGAATCAAATCCTATCACATACCATGGCATAACATTTTCATCCAAGGAGAAGAAGAATTAGGCCTAGCAATTCCTGACACGACCCGATAACCCGACACGACACGACACGAAATTAACAGGTGTTCAGGTCGACACGATAACGAATCGGGTCGTTATCGGGTAACCCGATAAGCACCTGTTAAGATAACGGGTTGATTCGGGTATACACGCACACGCAGGTAACACGATACACGATAAGCAGAATATTATTTTTGAAATTTTATAACCCTAAAAAAATACTGTAATAATTATATATATATATTAATTTAACAATTTTATACCCCTAAAAACTATAATAAATATATATATATATATATATTAAATTAACTATAATAATTATACCCCCAAAATATTAACTATCTATAATAATTATATATATATATATATATATTAAATTTTGAATTAAATTTTACAAAAACTATAATAATTATTAATTAATATGCATTCATTGATTTGATTCCATAATTGATAATTTTATTACATTCCCTGCAGCGTCGTCCTTTTTGAAGAAAAAGGGAAGGAAAATGAAAGTGATAAAAAAAAGTTGAAAAGGAAACAAAAAAAAGAGGGAATTAGGGAAAGATGGGTAGGCACCGTAGGCTGTCGAAGGGAAAAGTGAAAATTATAAGAAAAGTTGAAAAGGAAACAAAAAAGAGAGGGAAAAATGAAAATTAATAGAAGTGGTGAGATTTTTTTTTTTTTTAAGTTATTAATTTTTTATCATATATATGATATATCTCACTATTTTTATAATGACTCACGTGATGTATTACTCCGTATACCAATCAATTATACGTACAAAATAAATAGATTTAAATCTACTTAATAAATATATATATATATATACACACACACACACACATACACACACCATTGAACTTGATGGGATACGAATTCTCCGAAACTAATTTCAACGATCTCAACCGTCAAACTTGTTTGTATATGCTTTGAGATCACATCAGCAAAAAAATCACAAAAAACAAACATTCAAAGATCAAGTAACGGGACAAAACTTTTCGACAGTTATAAACGAAAAATCACGATTTAACGGTTATTTTAACTCCGATTGTGATGATTTTTTATAGCTACACTCCTTGACCCTATATGAATACAATGAATAAATTCGATCTTCAAGTTAAAATATTTACACAAGTGAATACCACAAAATTTTATGTTATACTTAATGAAAGTATAAATAAACTAAGTGTTAGTCAATCTATCGTTTTGATGGGATACGAATTATCCGAAACTAATTTCAACGATCTCAATCGTCAAATTTGTTTGTATATACTTCGAGATCACATCAGCAAAACATCACAAAAAACAAACATTCAGAGATCAAGTAACAGGACAAAGCTTTTCGACGGTTATAAACGAAAAATCACTATTTAACGGTTATTTTAACTCCGATTTTGATGATTTTTTACAACTACACTCTTTGTCCCTATATGAATACAATGAATAAATTCGATCTTCAATTTAAAATATTTACACAAGTGGATACCACAAAATCTTATATTATACTTAATGAAAGTATAAATAAACTCAAAGTGTTAGTCAATCTATCGTTTTGATGGGATACAAATTATCCGAAACTAATTTCAACGATCATAACCGTTAAACTTGTTTGTATATGCTTCGAGATCACATCAGCAAAAAATTGCAAAAAACAAACATTTCAGAGATCAAGGAACGGAACAAAATTTTTCCACGGTTATAAACGAAAAATCACGATTTAACGGTTATTTTAACTCCGATTTTGATGATTTTTTACAACTACACTCCTTGACCCTATATGAATATAATTAATGAACTCGATCTTCAATTTAAAATATTTACACAAGTGGATACCACAAAATCTTATATTATACTTAATGAAAGTATAAATAAACTCAAAGTGTTAGTCAATTTATCGTTTTGATGGGATACAAATTCTCCGAAACTAATTTCAACGATCATAACCGTTAAACTTGTTTGTATATGCTTCGAGATCACATCAGCAAAAAATTGCAAAAAAACAAACATTTCAGAGATCAAGTAACGGGACAAAATTTTTCCACGGTTATAAACGAAAAATCACGATTTAACGGTTATTTTAACTCCGATTTTGATGATTTTTTAGAACTACACTCCTTGACCCTATATGAATACAATGAATGAATTCGATCTTCAATTTAAAATATTTACACAAGTGGATACCACAAAATCTTATGTTATGTTTAATGAAAGTATAAATAAACTCTAAGTGTTAGTGAATTTATTGTTTTGATAGGATACGCATTCTACGAAATTAGTTTCAACGATCCAACTGTCAAACATGTTTTTATATGCTTCGAGATCGCATACGCCAAAAATTTCAAAAAACAAACATTCAGAGATCAAGTAACGGGACAAAATTTTTCGACGGTTATCAACGAAAAATCACGATTTAACGGTTATTTTAACTCCGATTTTAATGATTTTTTACAACTACACTCCTTGACCCTATATGAATATCATGAATGAACTCGATCTTCAATTTAAAATATTTACACTAGTGGATACCACAAAATCTTATGTTATACTTAATGAAAGTATGAATAAACTTTTAAGTGCTAGTGAATTTATCATTTTAATGGGATATGCATTCTACGAAACTAATTTCAACGATCCAACCGTCAAACATGTTTGTATATACTTCGAGATGACATAAACCAAAAATTGAAAAAAAAAAAATATTCAGATATCAAGTAACGGGACAAAAGTTTTCGACGGTTATCATTGAAAAATCATGATTTAACGGATATTTTAATTCCGATTTTGATGATTTTTTACAGCCACACTCTTTGACCATATGTGAATATAATAAATGAATTCGATCTTCAATTTAAAATATTTACACTAGTGGATACTATAAAATCTTATGTTATACTTAATGAAAATAAACTCTTAAGTGTTAGTGAATCTATCATTTTGATAGGATACGCATTCTACAAAATTAATTTCAACGATCCAACTGTCAAAGTTGTTTATATATGCTTCAAGATCGTATACGCTAAAAATCACAAAAAAGAAACATTCAGAGATCAAGTAAAGAGACAAAACCTTTCGACGGTTATCAATGAAAAATCACGATTTAACGGTTATTTTAACTCCGATTTTGATGATTTGTTTTATAGCTACACTCCTTGACCCTATACAAATACAATGACTAAACTCAATCTTTAATTTAAAATATTTACACAAGTGGATACCACAAAATCTTATGTTATGCTTAATGAAAGTGTGAATAAATTCTTAAGTGTTAGTGAATCTATTGTTTTGATGGGATACGCATTCTATGAAACTAGTTTCAACGATCCAACCGTCAAACATGTTTGTATATACTTCAAGATCGCATATGCCAAAATTTTCAAAAAACAAACATTCAGATATAAAGTAATGGGACAAAACTTTTCGACGGTTATCAACGAAAAATCACGATTTAACGGTTATTTTAACTCCGATTTTGATGATTTTTTACAACTACACTCTTTGTCCCTATATGAATACAATGAATAAATTCGATCTTCAATTTAAAATATTTACACAAGTGGATACCACAAAATCTTATATTATACTTAATGAAAGTATAAATAAACTCAAAGTGTTAGTCAATCTATCGTTTTGATGGGATACAAATTATCCGAAACTAATTTCAACGATCATAACCGTTAAACTTGTTTGTATATGCTTCGAGATCACATCAGCAAAAAATTGCAAAAAACAAACATTTCAGAGATCAAGGAACGGAACAAAATTTTTCTACGGTTATAAACGAAAAATCACGATTTAACGGTTATTTTAACTCCGATTTTGATGATTTTTTACAACTACACTCCTTGACCCTATATGAATATAATTAATGAACTCGATCTTCAATTTAAAATATTTACACAAGTGGATACCACAAAATCTTATATTATACTTAATGAAAGTATAAATAAACTCAAAGTGTTAGTCAATTTATCGTTTTGATGGGATACAAATTCTCCGAAACTAATTTCAACGATCATAACCGTTAAACTTGTTTGTATATGCTTCGAGATCACATCAGCAAAAAATTGCAAAAAAACAAACATTTCAGAGATCAAGTAACGGGACAAAATTTTTCCACGGTTATAAACGAAAAATCACGATTTAACGGTTATTTTAACTCCGATTTTGATGATTTTTTAGAACTACACTCCTTGACCCTATATGAATACAATGAATGAATTCGATCTTCAATTTAAAATATTTACACAAGTGGATACCACAAAATCTTATGTTATGTTTAATGAAAGTATAAATAAACTCTAAGTGTTAGTGAATTTATTGTTTTGATAGGATACGCATTCTACGAAATTAGTTTCAACGATCCAACTGTCAAACATGTTTTTATATGCTTCGAGATCGCATACGCCAAAAATTTCAAAAAACAAACATTCAGAGATCAAGTAACGGGACAAAATTTTTCGACGGTTATCAACGAAAAATCACGATTTAACGGTTATTTTAACTCCGATTTTAATGATTTTTTACAACTACACTCCTTGACCCTATATGAATATCATGAATGAACTCGATCTTCAATTTAAAATATTTACACTAGTGGATACCACAAAATCTTATGTTATACTTAATGAAAGTATGAATAAACTTTTAAGTGCTAGTGAATTTATCATTTTAATGGGATATGCATTCTACGAAACTAATTTCAACGATCCAACCGTCAAACATGTTTGTATATACTTCGAGATGACATAAACCAAAAATTGAAAAAAAAAAAATATTCAGATATCAAGTAACGGGACAAAAGTTTTCGACGGTTATCATTGAAAAATCATGATTTAACGGATATTTTAATTCCGATTTTGATGATTTTTTACAGCCACACTCTTTGACCATATGTGAATATAATGAATGAATTCGATCTTCAATTTAAAATATTTACACTAGTGGATACTATAAAATCTTATGTTATACTTAATGAAAATAAACTCTTAAGTGTTAGTGAATTTATCATTTTGATAGGATACGCATTCTACAAAATTAATTTCAACGATCCAACTGTCAAAGTTGTTTATATATGCTTCAAGATCGTATACGCTAAAAATCACAAAAAAGAAACATTCAGAGATCAAGTAAAGAGACAAAACCTTTCGACGGTTATCAATGAAAAATCACGATTTAACGGTTATTTTAACTCCGATTTTGATGATTTGTTTTATAGCTACACTCCTTGACCCTATACAAATACAATGACTAAACTCAATCTTTAATTTAAAATATTTACACAAGTGGATACCACAAAATCTTATGTTATGCTTAATGAAAGTGTGAATAAATTCTTAAGTGTTAGTGAATCTATTGTTTTGATGGGATACGCATTCTATGAAACTAGTTTCAACGATCCAACCGTCAAACATGTTTGTATATACTTCAAGATCGCATATGCCAAAATTTTCAAAAAACAAACATTCAGATATAAAGTAATGGGACAAAACTTTTCGACGGTTATCAACGAAAAATCACGATTTAACGGTTATTTTAACTCCGATTTTGATGATTTTTTACAGCTACACTTCTTGATCCTATATGAATACAATGAATGAATTCGATCTTCAATTTAAAATATTTACCCAAGTAGATACCACAAAATCTTATGTTATACTTAATGAAATTATAAATAAACTCCAAGTGTTAGTGAATCTATCGTTTTGATGGGATACGCATTCTACGAAAATAATTTCAATGATCCAACCGTCAAACTTGTTTGTATATGTTTTAAGATCGCATACGCCAAAAATCGCAAAACCAAACATTCAGAGATGAATTTGATCTTCAATTTAAAATATTTACACTATTGATACCAAAAAATCTTATGTCATGATAATCGATGAAAATTGAGGATTTTGTAAAAGGAATAATATGCAAGCTCTGAGTTCCATTGGCAAGGTTTAAACTTTTGAGAAAGGCTTTACAACCTTGAAAACAAAAATTTTTTCATTTTGCATATCCTTGCACATTTAATATTTTGTAATAAATTAGTAGTGTATGGATGTTTGTTTATTAGGCTCTTATTTTCAAGTGTAGATCTAGTAATTAAACGACAAATGTGTTTTAATGTTTTGAAGTAATATTTATGTGGCAATGTGTGATATGTGCAAATTTAAGGAAAAAAAAACCATTTTTCTTAACGGGTCAGAGCGGGTCATAACGGGTCGGGTCACTTTACCTGTTGGGTAAAGTGACCCGACCTGTTAAGGACCCGTTAAGATAACGGATGTGACACGACACGACCAGTTAAGATAACAGGTGTTACACGAAAACGATACGAACACGACAAACACGACCCGTTTGCCAGGCCTAAGAAGAATAACCGAAAACATGTAACTTAGTACATATTAGCATCTAAATATATATGTCATTAGCGACAAACTAAGCAAGATTTAACTAGTAAATCGATGTCTGAAACGATCGAGGAATCTTTATCTACTATATATACGGAATCCTGAACAAACTAGGATTGTTGTTGAAACCCTACTAAGTGGTGTGGTAACAGCACTGCCTCTTTAAGTGTAAGCCAAAAATTAAGCGCAGAACCCTTCATCTTAGCTCTCTAACTAAATCGACGGCTTATAGAAAACCACCACCAAAAATTCGTGCGGTAGATTCGAAAACAAAAGAAGCTCGGACGCCTGCTTCAGAGGGGGCAAATGAAAGAATTGGGTGTCAGCTCCGCAGGAGTTGTTGCATAGTCATTGGCATTGTTTTCTAAGAAGCTCATGTCATCATTAGTTGGGTAATCCAGCAGCAGCTGTAATGCAGTATCTGATGAGTCCTCCAAATCATTTGAACACGAGGAGACAGACCCCGCCATCACATCTTCAGTGTTGGACTGGCAGATCTTGAATTCTACCTCTTCGGTGTTGGACTGGAAGGGTTTGTATCCCACCTCTTCAGTGTTGAACTGGAAGGGTTTATATTCCACATCTTCAGTGTTGATCAAGAAAGGTCTGTATATCAAATCTTCGTTTTGATTGCCTGCCATGGTTGATGACCCAGTTAAGTTGCCAACTTCTGTTGTCACGGCTGACAGCGATCCACATTTGGTCGATGAAGATGCCTGAGAAATGGGGCTTTGGCATGCAAATTTATCCGAGGTACTGAGCTTTCTGAATGATTTTCCAACCTCGGAGTTCCACAAGCGCAGAAAATGGTCAGACTCAGATTTCTCTGGAACACGGCTGAAGAGTGATGAATCCCTGGAAAGCCGAGCCTCAGCTTCAAGCCTAGCACTCTCCCATTGTGCCATGTGACGGGTGGCTGCGGAAGCAGGTGCATTGTTACTTAACCAGTTAGAGGCAAGAGGCTCGTGCGTTTGTGGATCAATCCCCACGGCGATAAGGCCCTTCCTCAGGTGCGTGTTCCATAAGTTCTTGATCTCATTGTCAGTTCTTCCAGGCAACTGAGAAGCTATGGTAGCCCACCTGAAAAATGTTTTCGATACAAATAAAAAGAGAGTTAGAAACAGGTTAAAGTTTCTACAACAGATAAATCGCACACAGTTTGGTTTACGAGAGGCTACGTTACAAATTTTCCATTGTTTTTCATCAAATAAGATTATAAAACCATATGCATCAATTTATCAAATCCGGGCCAATCATCGGTAAAAGATAAATCTACCGTATTCATCTGTTAACACAACAGCAGGGTTGGTTTTCTTTGTGGAACGTTATTTCTGTGAGGTTTAACACAGTTAATACAAGGTAAGAAGCACCAATATACGGTGTCTCACGGCATCAATCCAAGACACGGAGCATCACGGTAAGAAGCACCAATTCCCTGTGAGGTAAATCAGTTTCAACCCACAACACGGTGTCTCACGGTTAAGAAGCACCAATATACTACCTGTTTCCGAGCATGCCATGAAGCTGTATGATGAGTTTCTCTTCGTCCTTGCTGAAGGGGCCTCGTTTAATGTCCGGCCTGAGATAATTTGTCCACCTTAGCCGGCAGCTCTTCCCACAGCGTTGAAGACCTATTGGAAAAAGACGACCATGATAGATTGGGTAACATGAATTTTCCCACCTCCTAGGATGTTTTAAACCATAATATCCAAGAAAAATTAGCACCCTAATACACCTATATTCTGCAAAACCATTAAAATGCTAACAATGGCATGATCCAAAACCACTAATAAACATTTCTCCACTTCTTAGAAGGATTGTCTGTGAAATCAAAAAAGGGGAGAAAATGTTCAGATTCTAAGACTATAAGCAAGTTTATATTTGAGTGAAAGAATACAAACAGGTTGAAGAGGAAAATAAGTTTAGAAAGTACAATAAAAATCACAAGTAAAAGTGGAGAAGAAGATGGATAGTAATAAATAAATAAATAATTTGTTTGCAAATGTACGGATGCTACCAATTAATTCAAAGAGGGTGAAAACGGTTGGTTGGGACCAGAATCTTGAAACCCATCACTCACATTCCCTTGAAAGTTGAACAAAAAAACTATGTGGCTCAGTAGAGATTGGAAGAAAAGCTTGACACCATTTTTTTTAAACACCAGTTTGACACCATTTGTATCACACAGAAACAAAAGCACTTTTCTTTGTCTTCAGAAAAACAACAAAATCAAAGCAAAACCAACTTTTGGCTTTTGGGTTTCAAAAAAGCAAGATACTTTGTGCTCAAAAGGCAATATATGCACCAAAAACCAAGACAGAAGAAAAGGAAGAAAAAGCCAAGTGAACCTGCAAGCTTGGGGAGAGAACGCCAGCTTCCATGTCCATGGTTCTTGATGATGTAGTTCAGAAGAAGCTCATCTTCCTCCGGCGACCATGGCCCCTTCTTCAAGTCCTTCTTGTTGTCACAACATGGAGTCCTCCCCATATCTCTCACACTACCCTATTAATTCTCAAACACAGAGAGAGAGAGAGGGGTAGAGAGAGAAGCAACCACCAACCACCACCGCCACCAGTGCTCCACTCACCAAACCCCAACAATAAAGATCCCAAGAAAAAGAAAAACCCAATTTAAAGCCCCCACAAAAGACTTGATCTTTGATGAGAATGAGAGAGAGAGAGAGAGAGAGAGTTAATGCTGGAGGAGTTCGATCTCTATCTGGAGAAAGGGGAAGTGATGTTATAATAATAATTATACAGAAATATGGATGTGGGTTGTCTGAAAGGCAAGGAAAGGCACAAGCTCAGCTAGCTTCAAGCTGTCCATCTCATTAAAAGTGAGAGACTTTGGCCCCAAACAATGAAATTATGCAGCGGGATGGGATTTAATGGTGGGATTTCTCCTTTTGAGGTTTGAATTTACACTCAACTGGAAAGAGAGAGTAGCCAAATGCAGGGAAGATGGTTGTGAAAGCATTTATGTTGGAGTCTCACACAGAAAGACAGAGTGATATATTTATTTTAGACAGAGAGGACTTGGACGGCATTAATGTCAAAGACAATGACATGCAGTCTGCAGAGTACGGACTTGCCATGATATGACTACTGGATTTGCATTTTCCTCTATATTTTTTTCTTAATTTATAAGAAATTTTTAGAAGAAGAAATAAAACCACTGATTCTTGCTAAGAAAATTAGCTATTATAAATGAACTTCAAATGCTTTTGTTCTCAGTTTTCTTGCTTTGCTTGCAGAGTTCCACCCTTTGGTTGGTTGGTTGGTTCCACCCTTTTGTGATCCATTTCTTTATCACCATACCTTAATCCTTTGAAATTTGAAAATTCATCGTTCAAATATACACTTAAGAAATTAGGTGAAGAAGAAAGAAGAAAATAACTGAGGGTTTTGCTCAGTTTTCTCTCTTGAATAATTGCCTGGATTTGAAAGATCAATATGTGATCATAAATCATAATATTATTTTTGCTCATTTTATCGCTTGAACTTCTTGTGATCAATTCTATTTGTTGGCATCTGCATAATCTTCATTATATGGATGATGCATATTTAGTATGCCACAATTAAAAGTTAACAAGTCAATGAACGAAGTTGATGAACTGAAATAACGTAAGACACAAATGAGTTGTTATTTCTCTAATATAGGTTAAGAGATCACAAACGGTCGCTTGGATATATTTTGCTAAATATGGGTTAAGAGTTCTGTGACATCCCACATCATCCAGGGGAGTGATCCTTATATGTATATTCTCATCCCTACCTAACACGAGGCCTTTTGGGAGCTCACTGACTTCGGGTTCCATTAGAACTCCGAAGTTAAGCGAGTAGCGCGCAAGAGCATTCCCAGGATGGGTGACCCATCGGGAAGTTCTCGTTTGAGTTTCCAAAAACAAAATCGTGAGGGCGTGATCGGGGCCCAAAGCGGACAATATCGTGCTACGATGATGGAGCGGGCCCGGAAAGTGGTCCCCCTCGGGCCGGGATGTGACAAGTTCACTAACGATCACTTTGATTTATTTTACATAATCTTCACAATAATATCTTATTTTGTTATATTAACATTCTAAAAACCTTCATAGTAATATCTTACTCTGTTAATAACAATTCCCATGATATGTTTTACTAAATATACGTTAAGAGATCACTAACGGTCACTTCATTAACTTTTTAGAATACCAAAGAATTGAGAAAAAACTCTTTTTTGTATATAATGAAAAGATAACATGGTTTCACGAAACTCTAAAAATAAAATGTGATAAACTGTGAAAGTACAAAATACCCAAAATAACAAAAATCTATTCTAATCCACGAAACGATCTCAAACACCCGAAATCCATTTCAGGTCCTGACAAAACGACGAGACTTAGCAAACTTGCCTATTTTTTGGGAAAAACTAATAAAAATGGTTTGAAAATTTTGAGTTTTAATGATAATGATAAAATAAAAAGTAAAGTAAATAGTACTAGGTTTGATTTTTTAGTGTAAAAATATGATTTTTAGTTAAAGTAAACAGTACTGAAGGTTTTTCGTTAAAATTTTTTTTTTTTTTTTCCATAAAGGTATCCTAGATAGAAAATGTAATTCAACAAACTCCGAAATACACTATTCACTGCATAAAACATTATTCACACAGGAAATCATAATTTACGTCAAAATTTTCACTAGTTATGATTTCTATTTTCAAAATAACCAATAATAGATTTGTTTTTTCGTATACAGTCCCACTGTAAAATGCAAATGAATCATTTGATATGTGTGTTGTTCGAATTTGGTTTTGAGCAAGTTGAGGAGAGTCAAAAAGAAGTCAAAATTGGTAAACTGTGCAAAGTCTATTCAGTCTAAATCTAATAAATGTGGTCAACTGAAAATATTCAAAGTCAAGTTTCTGCAAACCCTCCATGTTACTCTACTACTAGTCTTCTACTTCTTTTTTTTTTTTTTTTTTTTAAAGGAACGAGGGTCATCTTTTCATCTTCTTTGTGAAAATTTTGAAAATTTTTAAATCACATTCATTATGTATCATACGGTCAGAAATTATTGTAAATTTTTTATTTAAAATTAAATATAAATAGTACCTGATAAAAACTAACCGTACAATATACAATAAACGAATGTAATTAAAGAATTTTCAGAATTCTCTTAAAGAAAATCTGAAGAGGAACCTTAATTTTTAATTTTTACTTCATTTTTTCCCCAAACTTCTCTTAAATAGTGATGGTCTAGAAATTTACAAATTAACGGTTTAATTTTGCATATGAAATTTAATGAGTTTTTGTAAATGTTAAAATTTGCATAAAACTTGTGCTACTAAGTAAAATGTAACATTGCAGTTAGACTTTATTTTTTATTTTTTATTTTTTTTTTTTCGGAAAAAAAGAAGTAGATGTTGAAATATCTCAAATCTACCATATATTTGGGAAACGAAGAGTTTAAATATTCTAACTCTACTCCAAGTATTACTGAGGCCTTCTGTGATTAAAGGCCACACCTGATGGAGTTGGGGACAATAGCGATATTATTGGATGGGCCTTTGGCATGTCTATCTGATAATTCTTCGGTATAATTTTTTTTTGTCAAAAGATAGATTTTGTAAAATTAGAGGTTAGATTAGCCACTAACGGGGTTTGAACTTACGCCCTAATATAAGGACTTAACACTTTTTCACCATTGTAATAAAAGATCACTTGCACGGTATAAGGTTTTTGAATTTGGACAGAAAATACATGAGAGTCACATGACATGTTCACATAATGTGCTGCGATAAAATCTACATGGCAGTCTTGGATCCTCCCAACATTTATGCATTTAAGTAGGAATTCCTGTAGTTCATTGCGACAAGCATTTATTTCTACTCGTCGTCTGCGGCAAACATTTATACCTCTACATAAATATTTGAGATGGGTGACAAATGAATAGTATAAGCGTACACAATTTAAGTTACAAGATATGCAAGACTGGATAAAATTATCGGTTTTATACAATTATGTCTCTTTCATTATATATTATGCGATGAGCATATATTTAGATGAGGAGGGGAACTTTAGGACAAGTTAGAAACCGTATAAATGACTACAAAACATTAGATACGAGGGAATAAAAATGCACTGCATAATATTATTGTAATGGTATGTAAAAAAGGATTCTTAAATGATTATTTCGAAAAAGTCATTTACAAATTCTTCTGACATTTGGCTTTGTAACCATTTACAAATCCCTCTAGAATACTTTTATCTTGCTCATGTGATACATTTCTAATTCTCTTTCTAACATTTTATAATTTATTCCTTACGTGACCTAAGCCTTCTAAGATTTACAAATCTCTCAAGCGAACATGGCCTAACTGACAGATAAAGATGATAGCTAAAACCTTAATTTATACATCATGCGCATAGTGAATTATCAGATATAGACGCACGATTATATAAAATCGAATAAATTTAGTTTCTTTTAAGAAAACAATTTGGAAGGGTTTGGTTGATAAGAACGCAAATGTGAAATAACACATTGAGGGTAGCAATAAATAAGAAGCATACATTATTAAAGTTTGTTTGCTCCTTCTTTTGTTTGATGTTAATTTCATATGAAAATGTTTTATTTATCCTGTGTATTATTGGAGGGGTCAAGCAATAAATATGGCAGGGACGAGAGAGACACATGGGAAGGAAAGAAACTGAACAGTCTTTAGATTTGAGAGTGGTCTGTTTTCCCTGTGTTGTCGGCGCCTGCCTTCGTGCTTGTACAGTTCAAACATTAATAGTCTTTTTTTATTTTTTATTTTTTATCAATCGATAAATTTTTGTTATATTAAATGTTATTAATTATATACGAGATTTGAATTCACATCGTTACGTAAGAATTTAACACATTTTCATCATTATGATAAAGAATCACTTTCCAAACATTAATAGTAGGGGTATGAATTTATATATATAGGGTGATTTGTATAAAATCAATGAAAAGTTATAATATTAACCATATAACAATAATATTTATGTTAATAATAAATAGTTAATTAATAATTATGTATTATAATACTTAAATGCGTTTAAAATAAACAATGGTTACAAAATTTACCACTACAACTATACCCACTTCAACTGGCAACCCCTTTTTTATAATTTTTATATTTTGGGATAGGTCAATACGGATTCAAATATTGCAATTACAATGTCTGTTTTCTAATTTTGTTTTTTACATTTGGATTCAGACTTTACGTTGTAGTGTCCGTTTCATTTTCTCTTTTTTTTTCTACCACTCACACGCCTCCTATGCTTCACAGTTCAAGAAGAAAAAATAAAGACAAAGATGAGATGTAGATAAACTTCGGTGTCGTTGAGCGAGCAGTTGGGTTTGAAGGAGAGAAAGAGAGGTAGCGAGGAAAGATAAACATGAGAAAGTGAAGAGAAGGGGAAAGAGAGTGAGAGAGACATGATAGAAAATCAGGATAGAAGACAGTAGAGACGGGAGATAAGGATAGAAATAAAGTGAAGAGAGAAGGGTGTAATAGTTATTTTATAACTAGCCTAAACTCATGTGACACGCTGCATTGACCTATGTATAATTATTATAAATATTTCATTGATTATGTACAAAAGAACTAACCATTAATATATGGCTAATTAGTAATTATTTTATTGACCTTCGGCTAAATGACCTTTATATATATATGCAGTGGCGGATCCAGGATTTTAAACTCGGGGGGTCCCAATTATAAAGGTCAAAAAATTTATAGACAAAAATAACATTGAAAATTTAAATATAATACATTTCATTCAAAAATCATATGCAAAACAATATTACAAATTATAAAATCATAATTCAAGTGTCCATTACGAGGTTTCATAAGTTACTAGGGAGTACCTAAGTTATTGATTATCTAATATGAACCACTAAATTTAAAGGGTTGTGCTATTCACACACCCTTTTTCGCTTCTCACACACCCTTTGTTTATTTCTGTCATTTG